AAAATGCCCTGCATTATTATTAAACGTCAGGTATTGGATCGGGATTGGCCGATATGGTTGGTCCATCTATCAGATCAAGCTCTGTGCAAAGCTGAATCGAGAAGAAATGCTTCTGGAGGATATAGTATTACCCCAAACATCCTAGGTTGTGCTAACCGCAGTGATCAAATACGGTTCTGAATTTTCCCATATCTAGTCAATATGACACATTTGATTTTTCCCAAAGCTGAAGAAAGGCCCTTGTGGGAAGAGTTTCCATGATGATGAGAGAATTGCACCAGATGAGATCCTGGACATTTAGCACGTGTCTAAATGTGCACATATGAATTGCAGCTACTTTGACCAAATGCAGTGATGCTAAGGGAGACTACAGTGAAGAAAACAAAGAAGTGGCTGCAAAACAGTGTTTCTTTCTTGGGATAGAAACTTTCCGAACATCCCATAAGTACCTACAAGATAACCAGGATGAAATCATGTGGAACCAATCTAATTTTCTTCAAAGACAGGATAACAGGCTTTGTGAACAGAGCAAGTAGAAGATGTGGTATGTCTCAACTTCAGTAAGGTCCTTTAACATGGTCTTACTGGATATTCTTATCAGCAAGCCAAGGAAATATGTTGAAAAAACTACGTGGATACACAACCAGCTAAAAACCAATATTCAAAGAGTAGTAATCACTGATTCACTGTCAAGCTGGATGAATCCATTTTGGATCTGGTACTATTCAATATTTTCAGTATAGCTGTGGATGATGGAACAGAGAGTATACTTTAATTTGCAGACAATGCAAAGCTTAAGAGGAAATGCAAGCTGTCTGGAAGTTAAGTTTAGAATTCAAAATGATCTTGAGACATGGTCTGCAAATATATATAATGCAATAAGTAAGGACAAGTTACACAGTACTGCACTTAGGTAGGAATAATCAACTTCACAAATACTAAATAGGGAACAATTAGCTAGACAACAATCTGATAGAAAATGATTTAGGGGCTATAAGCTATAAACAGACTTCATCCTTGGAGCAGGATCATCTGTGCCAGGATATGTCCAGGTACAGCTGAGCTGCTTCACCAGGCAACACAGGAGTTACCCAGTATTCTGCAGGGTCAGGCCCCTGCCACTCCTGGGGCCCAATCCTGTGGGTCGACTGCAAATTGGGGAACCCCCTCAGGGTATGGCTCAGTAGTGCAATTTGCATGCCCTTCCATGACACACATCTGCAAACAGGGACTCCCTGAAGCCATGGGAACATCTGCCCAAGGTTCTCCACGAGTCAGCTACTCAGCTACTGGCATAATACCAATAATTTTACTTGCCTCCTTTGAGATCTAAAGACAAAAAGCACTACTCATGTTTTCTGTCTTAAGATTTCAAAAGGAGGTCAGCAGAATTATTTCCATTTTCTTAGATGGGAAAGATAAGCCCGATCAAATTCTTCACCCAAAGTGTTATTCCTGTTCTCTGTCCTGTACCCTTTCTAGGAAATGTTGATGGGACATGCAGCCTTTTGAACAGGGAGAAGAAGGAATAAGCGTGAAAAACCTTCTTTGCTGGGAGGTTCTCTCTCCCTTTTAAGGTATGTATATGTATGTTAAAGTACACTGTTCTAAAAATGCGTTAAGTAACTTTTTGAAGGGTAAATGCTAGAACTATTTCTCACCTGTTGGGTAGTAGGCTTGAGAGTACTGTGCTGAAGGTGTGTAGCTGCTGTATTTCTGAGAAGAAGTCACCATTGCCTGAGGCCCTTGCTGAATATGGACAGAAGTAGCGTTGGGTTGCAGTGTGTATGTAACCTCTGTTGGAAACCTTTGTAGTACAGAAAATGGAACCCCTTTTTCTGAAAAATTTGAAGAAGTCTCCACCTGCCCTGGAAGCATCCCAAGGGAATTCTGCCATGTTCTGGGAGGAATTGGAGTCCGATCTAAGCCTTTTAAAGGTAAAGTGCTGGGGTGGTGGGATGAAGCAGATACATATGAGTAAGGTGATAAACTGTCTCGCCGAAAAGACCGATGAAATTGTCCTATGGTTAGCTGCCCTGTATTAAAAAGAATTCACTAGAATTAAACGGTTATGAAATAGACACTAAAGAAAGAAAGAATCAAAACAGTCTGTTCAGTTAATGGGATTACATGCCAGGCTTTTCTATGAGAGTAGGAGACTAGATTCAATGACCCTAGAGGGCCAATTTCAGTCCTAAATTCCTAATCCATGCATAAACTAGATTCAACTTTATGAAGAAAGCATAATGGCTGGCCCTAAAATATTTGTCATGCAATATTCCTTGTAAAAATAAATTTACTACTAACAAAAACAGCTCTATCACAATTCATAAATTAGTTAGATATTAGTTTGCACATTAAGTCAGCAAACCACATCCGAATTATTTGGAAAATGCAATTTGGTAAACCATACAGTATGCAAAAAAGCAGAATGTAATATAAGACAGTTAGACTGTGCAAAGCTTCAGGTGGTGATTCAATTTGGAGGAGATTCACCCTGATTCGGTGGCCGAATCTTTGAATCTGAATTGAATCAGCGGACCAATTTAAAGGTCCAAATCAATTCAAAGCTCTCCAAATTTTTGGAAAAGATTTGGAGAGCTTTGATGATTCGGACAGTCCCTGGTGGCTGCAGCAAGGAACTACATCTGACACTGAACTGGTAAGTACTAGGGGCAGGGGAGGGGACCATGGGGGGACCCCCATCTCAGTACTTTAAACAAAAAAAAAAAGCTCCTGTGCTCACCAGGTGCTGCTGGGCAGGATGGGGGAAATCCCCGCTACTCCCCACTGCCCCAAGCTGCATGTGGAGTTCTGCATGAGCCCCCACAACCCCTCCCCTTGCTCCCCCAGCCCTCCCATGGGTGTCCCGCCCAGGCCAGCTCCGGCTCCTTAAGAAAAAAAACAGCCAAGAAAAGACCTGGGACTCTTTGCACCTGCAGTGGCCTTGGGGCTTTGAGGGCTCCTGCAGAGCCCCCCATGTGGCATGGGGCAGCAGGGGGCAGCGGAGATCGCCCCCTACCAGCAAGAGCGGGGAGTCCTGGGGTGTTTTTTTTTTCTTAAAGGGCCAGAGCTGGCCCAAACGGGGTACCCGTGGGGGGGGCTGGGAGAGTGAGGGACAGGGTTGGGGGTCTCATGCAGAGCCCCCCCATACAGCATGGATCGCCTTCTGCCTGGCAGCACCGAGTGAGCACCAGGGCTTTTTTTTTTTTTTTTTTTTTTTAAAACAAGTGCCGGGAGCTGGGGCAGCTGTTGCTGGGCTGGGAGAGGGGCAGGGAATGGGCCTGGCTGCCAAATTTCCAAATCAGATTCAGCCGAATCAAATCAGGACAGTGATTCGAATCACCAAATCGAATCACTGTCCCTCAAACCAGCTGAATCTGAATCCAAAGCAAGTACTTGCTGCTTCACACAGGCCTATAAGACAGTACCAAAATCAAGGCTGAAACCTCAAAGCCAGCTAAGAGAAAAAACAATGGGAATTAGACACCAAATCTTTTAGATAGCTTTGAAATCTCAGCCCAAATATTTTATTAAAAATCCTCAGATGGAAAAAACTGTACCAATTTTCATCTTTGGATTTTTTTAATTAACTATGAATGCTGGGAACCTGGATATGCCATCATTCCACTCTACGCCTGGCATTCTAGGCTTTATTGTTGGTACAGGTCTCTTGCTTCCTGGCAGAAGCACAAAGCGGCACTGCAGGAATGAACAGCTGCACACTAGAACCACTAGAGAAACCACATCCAAGGATGGTGACTGAACTATAAGTTGAAAGAAGACACAGTGGGTTTACAAGAGACAGCTGGCAACAATACCTATACTTACAACAGAAAGTGTTAGATAACCTCTATACCTTTTTTAAAGTTGCATGCAGCTTTGTGAAAGGTGAATAACTAAGACTAATCTTGTGAATACACCATTCATTCCTGCCTGTGGCAGGGGGTCAGGCTAGATGATCTGTTCAGGTCCCTCCTGACCCTAGCTACTATGACACTGTGAAACTATGCTGGAGTGTGCCCCTGACTGTGCCTCCAAAAGCTGGTCTAATTAAAGCACCCAGAGCAGGGGTGGGCAAAATGCGGCCCAGGGGCCAGATGTGGCCTGCCAGGCCATTCTATCTGGCCCATGGGGCCCCTAAAAAATTTAGAAAAGTAATATTTATCTGCCCTGGGCTGCCTGTCATGCAGCCCTCAATGGCTTGCCAAAACTCAGTAAGCGGCCCTCTGCCTGAAATAATTGCCCGACCCAGAGTGTCTTGCGTATCTGCATCCCTGTGCTGAAAAATGGCGGTGGGGGCGCTCTAACTAAAGCCCGTCTAACACAGACTATGCTGATATATGTGATGCTGGGGTCTGCTGGAGTGCAGTAATTACCATGCTCCAGCTGACTCAATTAATTGAGTCTGCCCTGACATGCTGTAATTACAGTGCATTGGAGTAGCCTCACTGCACGTGTACAAGCACCCTGTGTTATGGTAGTCTTAGAAAGATGCAAGAGGAGAGGACTTCTGAAGGTCAGATCTGTTATTGGACTAACTGCCTAGCTGAGATACTGACAGGTTTTGAAAGCTTAACCATTAGGCAGCTAGCCCAAAAAAAGGTGTCATCCTAAGAAGTCCTTGCCTCTTACCTGACTGAGACAAGGTGAAAAGGCACATTTTTAAGATGGGGAAAGTACACTGAAAAATCGGTTTAACGACAGTGCAGGTCAAGTGAGGGAGGGACTAAGGTGCAGAGAGAGGGACACTTTGGCCTCTTCAGCGTGGCGCACTGCACGCCGAGGGCGGCTGGACCGGGCCAGCGAATCGGACCCCTCCCACCGTCCTCACAAAGGGCTCCTGCAAGCAGGGCTCCAGGCCTCATGACCCGCCCAGCCTCACCGGGCTTGTCTGCCTTGCCGGGCACCGGCGGCGGCAGCAGCGTGTCGCCCTGCAGCGAGGTGCTGAGCAGGCGCTGGAAGCGGTTGGGCGGGCGGCTCGTCACCTCCAGGCCGGCTGCCAGCTTGGCCTTGTTGGCGCTCGTGAGGCGCTTGAGGTGCACCAGCAGGTCGGGGCGGTCGCGGCGGAAGTGCGGGCTGTGGAAGTGGTGCAGGGGCCCCGCGGGCGAGGCCGAGGCCGGCGGGGCTAGGGGGGAGCCGCCCGGCGGGCCCAGCACCACCTTGCGGAAGCCGTAGAGGTTGAGCTGCCGGATGAAACTGGTGAAGTTGGTCGTCTTGAAGAGCTCGGCACAGGCGGCCGCCCCGTCGCCGCCGGGCCCCGCGCCCAGGAGCTCGGCCTCGAAGAGAGGCTGGTCGATGAGGAGCCCCTCGCCGCGAGCGTCCCAGCGGATGGAGCGGAAGCGCGGGCTGTTCACTAGTCGCCACAGCTTGGCCGGGAAGTTGTTGGGGTTGATGGGCGCGGCCAGCAGCGGTTCCTCCATGGCGGGCGGGGCCTCCCTCCCTGCCTAGCGCCCCAACCGCCGCCAACCGCAGCCCCAGCCAATCGGCGTCGGGCGCGAGGCCCTGCACGCGGCACACCGGCCAGCCCGCCGGGCCGCGCAGGCGCAGTCGGGAGCCGCCCGCATCTCCCTTCACCGCAGGGTTGTGCAGGCGTCGCCCGCTTTGGCCCCGCGCACTTCCGTCCCGGGACCCCGAGCGGAGGTGGCTCCTGCCTGCGCCAGTCCCCACATACTTGGGGGGGCGGGGTACCGCGTTGGGAGTGAGTGGTACCAACTGGGTGCACGGTGGGGGGCTGTGGGTTGTGAGTGAGGGACACTGGTAGGGTCAGAAAGCTGTTTTCTCCTTACTAGGTCAGGACTGGCCATTGATGTTTACAGATGGGTCCTGGTACAAAAAGGGTTGAGAACCAGTGTTCTAACCCTAGTAGATGGGTGGACCCCAACTTCTCAGAGTAGCTGTGACCGAGCACAAAAGGAGGATCACTCTGCTCCAGCAAAACTAACCAGACCTCAGTTTCATAGACATAAAGGGCAGAAGAGTTCTTAAGATCATGCAGGCCAGCCGGCTGTGTGGCATAGGACTTCCACAGGTGAAACACTAAGACTTACAAGGTGAAATTCTACCTGAAGACCAACTGTTTGTAGTTGAGATACAATAGAGGTGGACAGCTTGCTGTATGAGTGTTAAAAGTGGCATGGGCAGCCTCTGTATGACACATGGCAGATTGGAAAGGGAGCAGAAGGAAGAGCAGCAGCTCAGGCAGGGGAAGAGGAGCTTTTATAAAAGCTCATTTGATTTCTGTATCACAGCTGTTGGGGAATCAGTTGCATCCCTAAGTTAAATTGTTCCAAAGATTAATTTCCTTCCCCAGTAAATATGTACGCTTTATTTCCAGTCAGAATTTATTTAGCTTCAATTTTCAGCTATTGGGAGCATAGGCTGCTGTGCTAGGTTTGCTCTGAAAACATACAAGTTGAGCTGTGCAGTCCGGGATAGACACAAGAGTTTTTGAATCTCTGTCAGGCTTAGATGTGACCTAGGAGCTGAATTGCTTAGTCGTGTCGACGAGCCCTCTTGCGTAGGTTCAGAAGCAAGATTTTAGGCACCTGACAAACTTTAATGGAAAAAATGGAGGAGCCTGCATAATTTAGGCACCTTTAAGGTAGGAGAGCAGCTGAACAAGGGTTTTTAGGATTGCATTTTTGGACTTAGGCATCCAATTTCTACATTTTGGTAACTCAATTTCCTTTTGAGCTGACCCTTAAAATTCAGATGACACTAAATTTAACATACCCTGTGAACATCAATAGCATTCTTCCTCACTTAAACAAAATAGCAGTTTATAATTACATGATTCCATATTATTTGTCCTTGCCTTTTCAGTGCAGGTGTTGAATGGTGAGTGAATATGGATTGTGCATTGAATGTACTGTAGACCCTAACCTCATATCTCATTTACTGCAGAGACAGGGAGGGAGGGGTGGCTTAGAATGAGTCAGTGGCCCACAGGACCCTTTTCTTATTCAGACCATGCAAAGAAAATGGCAAGCATATGAGACAGGTGATACCCCAAACTTAGTGGTTAGAAAGGAAATATTAAACAGTTTGTATCAGTTACGCAACGTGGTCCATCCTGGGCACTAAAGGTTATGTGAGACTTTAAGAACATTTAGGCTTTGTGCCAGTCCTCTATACAAGAGTGAATTGCACACTGAAGGAGAGATTGTGCAGAAAAGATAGCACATGATCATGCAGTTAAGACTGAGTTTCACATGAGGGTAGAGTCAAGGTTGTGTTATCAGTCTAAACTCTTGCCAAATTCTGAACTTGGAATGCTTCATTGTGCCACCGTAGTCTCTATTTACTGTAGTTTGTCTATTGATAAAGTTATAAAATTGTCTGTTTTGAAGGAATATTTTTTTAACATACCCAGTTCTTAGGAACTTACCATCTCACCAGATAATGAATACAAACTGACTTGAATGTTAGTCCTGTCATATAGGATGAATAGATGTCTGAAGCTGAAGAAATAATTGATAGATACCCGCTATTTTAATTTCAAGGAAGCAGCAGGTCTTTTATTTAACAATTATGTAAACAACATGATTGATGAAAATGGATTCAATGTCCTCCTCAGAGACCACTTAAATAATCTGTGTGTCTGTTTCTTGTCTGTACGTTCCTTTAGAAGTCTGGAGAGATCATAGGCTGGTAAAATGCTACGTTAATTATGCAGTTATGTAGGAGAAAACAGGTATTAGATGCCTGTCAAGCATATCTTTTGAAAACTCTTGTATTTTTAATGGTAGTTTACTCTGGGCTGGAATTAGAATAACAACCAAGAAGAGGTACTTGCTCTTTTATGTAGACCTATGCCTAGCTTGCTCCAGGGTTTATGGGGTATTTCATGTATCATGAGTGGTTTCTTTTGTGTATTTGCTCAGAATTCATTGCTTGATACTGCATTGATATGTGAATGTTTGCCTCTGCTTGTCTGGCCAAAGCGGGACTTCCCAAGCTTATGTACGTTTCAGCACCCATATAGCCATGACTATTTGTGAGTGTTTCAGGGTGCATGTCTTTTGAAATGGTGATGGTACTTCCTTTATGGAAAACATCATTTTGAATTGGTAGTTCTTCTCTGTACATCCAGTAATCATGAAAGTTAAGGTCAGAAGAATTCTCAAGATCATCCAAACTCGCCTGCTATGTGGCATAGAATGACACTTTTTCCACCTGTGTAGTTGAGTTAGATTATAACTGTTATTAGCATCTGAAGTGCAATGTCTACGTTTATCTTGGAATCAGCAGATTGATGTGTTCAAGTCCTGATGACATTCCTCTTTTCAGTGTATGCTGAAAGATTTGGGCAATGGTCTCAACTTGTTTGACCATCTTGTCCTCCCTTGTAAGTGAATCGGACTGTTTTTCATTTCATGGTTAAGGTGATAGAGTCTATGGTGGCTGATATGCCTGATCTCTGCCTGGAATATACAGTTATAGACCAAACAAAGAGTAAGTGTTGTGGACTGGGAGGACTGGTCCTTCTGTCAAGACTTGTTGTAAGTGCTTGTGCTTTGCCTTCCTTAGGTGTTGGCTTGGAACAGTTTCCATGGGGACCCCTCACAGGGGCTGCTTCCCCCACTCCCCATCCACATGAATGCCTGTGGCCTTGTGTGTTTGTTTAGCGCTGCATTTAGCTTTGTGAAATGTTGGGATATTTTGAAATGGGGTGTTGGTGGGGTTGAGGTTGGTTGAACGGGGTTGGGACTGAATAGACTTCACTCCTCCCCTACCCCCAATCTTTCCACGTATAATGGTGCAGTAAATGGAGACCACTTATTTACTCCAAAAAACGTTCTTTGCTGTTTCCTATGGAATTTGGGAATAAAATGACTAGATACAGCAGAGGCCTGTAGGAGGATTTTGGTCACCTTGCTTCCCCCCCGCCCCCGGTCATGGAGAGATGTAATTAACCGTTTCTCAGGACATGATTCAGGCTGGCTAGGTGGTGGTGTGTAATGAGCTGCTGTCCCCTGTTTCCACTCCACAACAATGCCAGCCTCCAAAGAATAACCCCCTACCCCAGTGCTCCTCCCCCCATGCTCTGCTCATCCTCCAAACTGTCCTCCCCCCCACACACACACGGACGCAGATGTTGTAAATAGTAAAATAATTTATTTTAATCAGTGTCTGTATCCATGTGTACTGCCAGTCAGTCCCACACAAGAAGGGCCGCCCAACCAGCTTTTCCTTGCAGATATGTCCTCGGTGCCTGCGCTGCTCCCTGGCTACATCTCTGTTTGGCCACTGCCTGTCCCACCTCGTCAGCCTACTCATGGCTGAAAACCTCTCCGTGGGTTTCGCAGATGTTGTGCAGCACTCAGGCTGCCACTATAAAGGCCATGATGTTTTCTGGCTCCAGCTCAAGCCTGCAGTTAAATGCCCTCCATCGTTCTTTCAGTCAGCCAAAGGTGCATTTAACAGCCATCCTGTATTTGCTGAGATGGTCATTGAAAGGCATCTTCTGTGGGTCTGTAATGTGCCCTCCATAAGGCTTCATGAGCCAGGGCTTGAGGGGGTAGGTAGTGTCTGATTTGTAAGTGGGGGAACAGCAATATCACAGATCACTGTCTCGGGGACTCTGGGTGCACAGCATCTTTTCTCCGTGAGCCCAGGCAGCAGAGAGTTTGTCAGCACATGTGCATCATTTGTACTGGGTGGGCCAGCAGCACATATGTTCGTGAACCAGCCCCAGTGGTCCACCATGGCTTGCAGGATCACGGAGGCAAATCCTTGATAACTGATGTCCTGCAGCACTTGCTGAAGCATGTCTTTACAAAGCGGGTACCACCCCAGAAAGGGCAAAGTAGCTCTGCTCGGTTTGCCTCTGTCCAGGAGTTAGCCAGAAGCATTAAAACTAAGCCTGTTCCCCCAAAGGCAGTGGACTCTGGAGGGGTGCATGAGTGCCAGCAGGGCCAGGCAGCCACTGCTGTGGTTCAGGGAGCCGGGGCCAGTTCTGGATGATGGTGAAGTAAAGGCAAAGAAGCCCAAGTAACTGACAGCTTCGACACTGGTGTTCCTTACAATAAAGCCTCATGTTATCCTGTCTTTCTGCATCTGGCTCCCTAATTTTGAAGAACTGGCAAAATCCCTGCTTGCAGTGCTGGGGGGTGGGTAGTTGGTTGGTGAGAGATGCAAAAATCAGATGCCAAGCAGTGGTGGAATTGGAGTGGGGGGGTGTTGAGGTACCACAGGCATTGCGTTTCACTTCTCTTGCTTCACCAATGCACTTTGCAAAGACCCCTGACAAGTTTTTTCCTGCAGTTCTGCCTGCTGCTTTTTCTGGGTGCTGCTTGTATTGGGTGGGGGGGGTGCCAGGAAATCTTTCAGGGGAAAATCTTTCATGCAAAGGTAAACAAAGGGGCTGGCTGCCTCCTCCCAGACAAGTCTGGCTTGCCACTATCCCTGGCCATTGGTG